GGTAATCCCTCCGATTGCACGGAGCGCCGTGAAATTAAATGGACAGTCATAATGGGGAAAGACTTCGTCAAGGATGAATTCCACATCTTTACACGATCCAATATTACATCCGTTCCATTTACAATCCATACTTCGACGATCAAATTTAACAACCATTTCTATCATTTGAACTCGAGGAAAATTTATTCCTAAATAATTAGCCACGCCAAGACTGCAGTGTTAATACTAAATAAATTAATTTATTATACTTGTCATGTACTAGAACCAACATAGCGTGGTCCCTACGCGGTTTTCGATGTTTTACGCTTCTTGGAGGATTATAATTGAAAATGAAGAATTTCAAGACCTAGCTCGAACAATTTAGAATACCGTAGAAATGGAATATTTCAGAGTCAGATTGGAAAATGTGGTAAATACTTTCACCAACGATTGCAAGAGAATGCTGGTTTGTCCTGTCGCTAACATGTGTATTTAGAGCAAAAATTTAGTTATATCTAAACATTACAGATGACGACGTGGTTCGTCAAAATATAAGCGGTCACGAATTCATGGGATTTCGACAGGTGTGCCTCGATCTTTTTATCATTACTTTACCGAAATGACATATGAAACACTTCGGTTTGTATAATTCTCAACAACAAATAAATTTCATCGACGTCGATTAAATTCCTTAGCGCCTTTCATATCCTCTTAAGTTACACAGGGCTTACAAGGAACCGTACCGAGAGGACGCGACACATATTTATGAGACCTGTATCACGTTACAATATGTACTTTCCCCAGGTAGCCGGAACACCGTAGCTCGTTTCCTCGTGAACGATGCCATCATAAAACCGGGTGCAGCCACTCGACGTAGCAATTAGTTCGAGGTACAATTACATTACTACGTCTCGGCGAGCGTGATTAAACTCAGCGTTTGACGCCCAGAACGAAAGGGAATGCTCTTTTCGTTAATCCCTACAAGCACGAGCTTCCGCCTCCAATTCCCCAAATTGTTAGTCCATGTTGATTAAGCATATCACAGGGACTACAAAGAGGAGGTACCGAGAAAACCCGGCACGTCGAAATTCACATTTCATCTCGGTGCGCACTTTCGATGCACCTTGCATTTCTAATTAAATTATAATTATATTTATCCCCGCATCTCCAAGAAAGTTGTCTAGTGTTTCGGAAGCGTTACACCTCCTGTTAGAAGAATAGAAATTATTTAACCTAGGGGAATTTTCTTAGTCTCTAAACCCTCTTTAGGGTTGCTCCACTCTAAGTATAGAACATGGTATGCGTAATTTCATGTATGGGTAGGGTTTAAAGGTTAATCAAAATGAACGGCTTTCGGCTGTAATAAATACCAATTCTGTCCTCTTCCAGGGGGTATCTACTTTCTACCGAGACGAGAAATAAGAAAAAAAAATTATTTCTCAGTGCTTTCTACCATTGCGGAGGTATATTGCAATTTTCCTGTTTCGGAATGAATGACTAAAAATCGTCTTGATATAATCATAAATGATCATTAATTTTTAAGATTTTACGGCCCAAATCGTCTCGAGGGAATTCTTATCCACAGGAATCCTGATTCGAGCCTGACAATGGCGGCTGATTTCCTTCGAGGGTTCGACTTGTTGGAAATTAAAATTCCATTTAAATCCCCGACGTCCCCGTAATTATTTTATCGACAACTTTCGCGGGCATGGAAAGAATTCCCGACTCCGTTTTAATTTTTTTCTCCGCTTTTCCGCGGTACACGAGTTTACCTTCTCGGTTATATCAACGCGGATGCACCTTATAATAGAGTTAATGGTGCTTGGGCCGCAAAACCTTGATAAAACAGCGAATTGCCAGCGGTGTACATGTAAGTGACACCCTCCTAACTCGCTCACCGCCGAGTGAAAAGGCTTATTAATCCGTTTTATGCGGCGCGCGTGCCACGGAATAATTCCTCTAATTGTTCCCGTCTAATTGCCCCAGGAAGGTAAAGAGAGGCCGATCGCCGAACTGCAGCGAGCGGGAAATATGTCCCAATAACGATGTACTGGAAATTCGATTCCAGCTGGAAAAGGTACCGCCATTGTTTCGACCCTCGGCAGTTCGTCCTTTCGCTCACCCATGCGTTTTATACCGACAAAAAAATATGAAAAAAATATAAAAGATCTCTAACTACACCGTGAAATCATTGCAAAAGCAGCCTTATTGATTCGCGCATGAAATACAGGGAAAATCAAGAGATCCCATGTGTACTTTAACGTTTTTTTTTTTTTTCCTCAGCAGCTCCACGTACGCTCTCTTTCTCTATCTCTATCTACCGCGAGATAAAAAGCGGCAATTACCGCAGCCACCTTTGCAGATGTGGACTTAAATTATTACTGCTACGGTAATTATCCACAATTCCGACCCTCTTCCGGCGTTTTATTTGCGGATTTTCTTTTTTCTTCATCTGCGCTCTCCAGCCTTATCCGTTTCGTTATTTTCGTCCCTCTTCGATGGCGGAATAATTTCTCCCGCCCTCGTCCAAAGAGAACCCGATAGGAATTTTTCATTGGAATAGACGTGACGCAGTTTCCGTTCAATTTCGGAAAATCGATGAGGTGCACGTGGGAACGTGGATTCTGTTGGCATAAATAAAATGCCCTTCACGTCTCTGTACATTCTCTGGTGCACACGCTTCTGGCTTGCGTGCTCGTAAATTCTGTATCGCTGAATTCCCCAAAGCCGCAAAATTTGCTCCTCGGCACGTGTTATTATTCGCCAATTCTACGCTAATTACGATACATGGCTTGATAAACGTTTTTGCAATGATATTTGATAGGTACACCAAGAGGTACTTGATGCTGTATCGCAAACTGAAGGGTTCCTTAGTTGCAGTTATTTTCTTTCATCTCGTTGTTAATACGGTTTTAATTTGCATAGCGACGTGGATGGTGTTATCATAAATACAGTTTCCTGAAATTTCCGTTCTCTCGGAGGTACACACAGAGAATATATGTACAGAGGAAACTGTATCGGAAGCATCGCAGTTTCTCGTCAAAGGCACTGGCCTCGGAAGTGCATACACATTTTTACCTCGCTTTCTCTTTACGAGCTTGGTAACAAGGGACCATTCTGATAAAAAGCGCGGAAATACTTCCTAATAAACTTTCAAGTATCGTACTAAGTACTCCTCGAATTCCCTCTACCGTTGAATGTTCATTAACTCATCAGGTGGGTGGATAAAAATGATAAATTTCGCCCTCGTTTTTCAACTGACCGATTTTCTCGCCGCGAGGTCGCAACTTCCTCCGTTGTTCTTTAAATGTTACAAACATTTTGATAAAAAGCGCGGAAATACTTCATAATAAACTTTCAAGTATCGTACTAAGTACTCCTCGAATTCCTTCTACCGTTGAAAGTTCATTAACTCATCAGGTGGGTGGATAAAAATGATCAATTTCGTCCTCGTTTTTCAACTGACCGATTTTCTCGCCGCGAGGTCGCAACTTCCTTCATTGTTTTTTAAATGTTACCCACCTTTTGCTTTAATTATTGCCCGTAAGAAATCTTAATTGTATTCCGAAATATCCACAGTTTATCTACTTCCCGTTTCGTATGCATTTAAATGCTTTCTCTCCTATCTGGAGTACAGGGCCCTACAAAGACTATTCCAAGGAAGTAAAACGATGAAAATGATTCGCTTCCAGACTCGATCGAATAATCCGATAACATCCCCTTCAAGATCAGAGTATAATAGAATTTTCGAGCGGTCTGCTTCATCTTGCCGGTGAGCTTCAACTTCGTTTTCCTGCTCCTCCATTCTTCGTCTCGACCTTAATCCTCTTCACCCTTAATTCCTCCGGCAAATCGAATCACGTATCAGAGGTCTTCCAGCCAAGGCCACATCTCGGTTCAGCACATTTTTTTTTTCCCTCCTTCGAGGTCCATAAACACTCTCTGATATCTCATCGACCGCCTCTGCAAAATTAGAACTCGTCCAGCCATAGAAGCATAAATATTAATATTCGGATTCGCCTTTGGCCCCCTGTTACGTTCCGCCTTTCTTGATGGTAAAAAGGCGGAAAAGATTGAAGAGATTACAGGGATATGGAAAAGAAAGGGAAGTTAAGATTCGGGATACCGTCAGATGGTCCTGGGACCAGCTCGTCTAATCTATTTGGACTAATTTTACTTGGGGTTCTGGGTTAGGATTGGCAAGTAGAGAAGCTGTCAGTCGAACTATATGACCGACTGACGATTCGGATTCTGTGTAGGCCAATTCGATATGGGCCAAACGAATTATGAGAAATTGGACCACTAATATGGAAAAAGAAAATAATAAGCGGTTTGAATTCCTTAATACGGATAATATTACGGATAGAATAAAACAATAACGATATAATAGATAATGGTTTAGAAGAAAGATATTAGTGTTATTAAGGAAAAAATCGTGTAAAGTTAATTAAATTACAAGTATTATACAAGCTTAGTTAGGGAAATAAGATGTAGGCGTACCTGCATTCTATATAATCCGCCAATAGAAGAGACTGATCTCTTTAAATCGACACTTGGCTGCGGACGTATTTGCAAGGACTCGCCTGAACTGAACTGGAACTGAAACTGAACTGAATTCGCGCTCTTGAGACATGAGCACTTTTAAAGGGGTTCGTCTTTCCTTTCAATGACCTAATCGATGGAGTGAGATTTCAAAACGTCTAAACATCGATATCTTTAGTTTGATAATCGATTGGTTTGTCATGCTGTCTAAATTGATATCAGTACGGCGTCTTCCAATTTCCCTTTACAGTTTATAAGGTCTTAGCCTAAATACGCGAGGCGCTCGTGATTCAGCTCCAACGAGTGACAATAAAACTCATTAGTACTTAAAGCTAGAGACAATTTATCGGGTGGGTTACGTGGGACGTAACACCCCTCATGGAATTGTTGAGAAATATCCAAGACACCTCCCATAACGACCGTCGATCTACTAATTATTAAATGAATTAATTGGAATATCTTTTGCCATTTCTTTTCAGCAAACAAATCGTTACCATGAGCCGGCAGCCTTTCACGTCGAGCCGGAGCACCGGGAATGGCGGGGGCGAACCTTTGATCGTCGTCGAAGAGAGCACCCTCGCCGAGGAGGAGGCCGAAAGTCAGAGGAACGAATCTCCCCCGAGATGCGTGGACCCAGATTCCCCGACATTGAACCCCTACTTGCTCTCCCCCTGGCGAGAAACCCGGAAGCACTCCCTGCCCACGCCGCAATGCACTTCCGGAATAACTGCATCTCAGGTAAAGCACCAGAAGCATTTCGCAAGTGCTCGTCGAGCAAGGATGTCCAGGCTCTCGTGAGAGAGACCATGGACAGGATACACCGAGGATGTGGATCCTCGTACATACAGGATGCCTCAAAATTGCTAGATACTTATCGTTGCCTCAGGGGAATTAATTCAATTCTATCGAGAGCCTGTTAAGGAAATTCGAACGTAGAGAATTAAATTTGAATGAGAAAGCTTTGATATAAAAAGTAAATAAAATTCCAACGGTCAATGGATTCCGAAATATTCGCCGAAGAAATTTGCCGGTTGCATGATGGGTTTATAGAAAAATGCGAGAGAAAAGAAAAATTAATAAATAAATAAACGGCGTAGTAATGCGTGATAGTGGAATTGCTTAGTGGCTTCTAGGAGCTAGTCCAGCGCTTCTTTCAGATCCAGCCTGCTGGTTGCTAAAGCTTGTTACACTCTTTTGTAGATGAGTACCTTAAAAAATGAAGGGGTCCTTGAAGTTTCACGAGAGCGGGAGGGGGGTCGTCGATCCGATTTTTAAGGAAGATTGGGGTTGCGGAAGGAAATCTTGTTATTTTTTATAGCCCCTTTGTATATCCAGGGTCACGTCAGAATTTTCCCCCTTTCTCGAAGCTTTTGTAATCCAATCGGTAGGATTAAAAGCGGGAGATATATATATAAACTACTAATAAAAATATCCTATAAACGGGTTATATGGACGTTGATAAAATTTCAACTTCGTCGAGTCCAGGAGTAGGATTTAATTATTAATAATCGGTTTCCGGGAGATGTTAATCCCCTAACTTGGCCCTAAGCCGGAAATACGAGCCGACCACGCGGGGCTGCGGGAAATAATTGTATCTCGGATAAAGGAGCACAGTATGCTCGTAAAGTCTGAAAGTCCATCCTCGAGTTAGCCATCGTGTATAGATACAATGTATGTGTGCCATTCATACACGCTGGGCGCGGCGAGGACTACGAAGGTATTATGCACTTTATCACTTCGTACGACCTAGTTGAAAGTACCTCCACCCGGGATTAAAACGCTGCATTACACATTCGTTAAAAGAAAGAAAAAAAAAAGAAATCCGGATACTACATGTTTGCACAACGACACTGTACGTGGATGGAACCGAAGTAAAATAGAAAAAATATGTATTCGTCGGCGATAATTGAACGAGAACTCGAGTAACGAACATCGAAGGACGTCCCCGAAGGGGCGCGCCGATTTGCCTCCATATTGAATTATGTCTTTTAACAAGTATGATGTGTGGCTCTGCAATGGCCATCAGTCATCGTCTCTTGCAATCGCGTTGCACTGTAATTCATCAAGATAATGGCACGTCTGAGACACGCACCGCAGGAGTGGGCTCTCCGTGATCAATCTTTCCGTTGCACCCAACGTGCTCACTTGGTTGCACTTTTGAGGGGTGTTTTATCGCCAGTAATTGCGACAATCCAAGCCAATTTTTGCTCGGGGTCGGAGGAATTTTTCCGGATAATAATTGACGTAGACGTCGGCGAAATCGAAGCTGGCTCGATGACGCGTAGGACAAATGTTCTTTTATCGCTAACGGCGAAGTGGTATTGCCAGAGATAGTAGTTCCAGAAGTGATGAACAAACTCGGCCATAGTCTTGCAGTCTTGGTCTTGTACTTTTTGCAAGTCCAAACCCAAGACTGGAGAACCAGGACCGATTATGCTCATCACCAAGATCCTGACAGCGTTATCCGTAATCACCTGTGTCCTGACAACGTTAAGGTGAAGTGAAACACGTCGAGGAACTTGATCAACGTCGATAAAGAAGATTTTTCTAAATGCCTACGTTGCTGACGTTGGTTTTTATACTGACAGCTGTGTCGAATTATATTAGGTATTGCACCGAATGGCATACTCCACCTGTCGTTTGCGTACAATAATTATGAAGAAATCGAAATGAAACTCCAGAAATCCTCTGGATTCATGCTTTCTAGGGCCCTAACTGACTGCAGAGGAACCCCCTGCGCCATCCATGATTTCCAAGTTAATTAAATTTTCTCTCCGAGACCTCGTATTCCCATCGTTTTAGCATAGAAGCGCATACGACATCTTTTTTGCCTTTATCCCGTTCAAATGCGAGTTTATCGATTACCAGAGTGTTCCAAATTGTCGTAAAATTGTCCTGACCCTTTAGTTTCTCATATCAGAGTCTTCGATAATTGTATATTGATCGAAATATGAGATCTCGACGCCATTTTGTTTCTGGTCTGGGCTGAATTAAAAAATTTTTTCCAAAAATCCATATTTTGAACGTGTCAGGACAATTTATAGATGACCAGGAATGACGTGTCAAAGTTTCGAACAGTTTGGTCTAATATCCTTAAAAAAATGTGTTGTATTCGAATCAACAGATTTGAAGGGGGTTTCACTTCACCTTAATAAGTGATTGGCACCGCTAGAGTGAATGTCTCGTGGCTTGCAAGGACTTAGCTGATCGACGTGTCCTGTAATTAACCCATGTATATCGTACTACTTGCCAGAATTTAGGAGAACGTCAACCAGACCGAATTGTTCCGTACGAGTAGTGTACCCGTCCTGGATCGACGACATGCACCCTCCTTGTCACCCTATCGCAAACAGGACGTGATAGAAAATGTGTAGTGAACCCGGCACGAGTATACAAGGACAAGGTCTGACTGATTGTACCTTTTAGAATAGACGTACCGTTTCCTTGTAGGACTTGTTTGCCGCCTCCTGTGTACTCCTCTGCATCGTACTATTTAGAGGATTACTCCATGGCCCGAGTACATGTACGCTAGTTATTTCCCTCGAGTAACCCCTCGATTACAACTTGTAGCGAATCGCCCGGGGGTAGGTTGGGGGTGATCGATGACGTGCACCCATCGTCGAATAATTGATCCCCGACTTTTGACTTCGACAGGTTCGACGTCTCAGCGAAAGGGGCGGCGAGGGCTCTGGACCGTCGCCCATGGAAGCCGCTTTTCTTGCAACTTTGTCTCAAGCACCAGCCCCGCAACCAGGAGGTCGAAGACACTCGGTGGTGACCATCTCCAAGGTAGCAAAGACTGCCGATAACCTTTAACTATAATATTTAACTATAATGAAGGTCCTGAAACTCATGAAATTTCAATTTTTTTCTCATTTGTTTATAGGTATTTTAAAAATAGTTTATAAAAAATGAAATTTCGCGAGTTTCAGGACCTACCTTAAGGTCTCCATATTCACGTTTCAAAGTATGAAACGATTTGAGAGACCCAGTTCGTAGAAAAGTTTTATGAACGATTGAGCTTTCGGATGCCACTTTCACATCCCCTTAAGAATGGAATTCAAATCAAATTGTTTCTCCTCTCCTTCCGCTCTTGCAGACCATTTTAAATCACAGACTTCGCTGCATATTTCTATAACGATACTTGTAACTTAAGTAATCATTTTTATTTTTCAAATTGTCATCGCGTCATCGGCCGTAAATCGCCCAGAGCGCTCTTGATCTCTAAGGTTCTCATCACCGTCTAACTTTACAATTCTTCTTATTAAACTACAGAACAAAGTCTGCGCTTTACAGTGGCACACGAGAGGAAGGAAAAACGAGGCACATCTTGTTTGAAATAAAAGATATTAAATCTTAATTAGCAGACTCCGAAAACATTCTGGGCAGCCAAGTGCCTCCTCGATGTTACCATTATTCGTATTATTGCTAAATGTGTCGGGTAGTACTTGTAACTGATAAAATGATTTTATCTTCAAGGTACCTCCAACACTTTTTGGTCAAGCCCGACGCGAGTCGATCGCTGCTTTCCCTCTTGGAGGCTTCTCCAGGATCCTCCAAGGTCGGCGGGATTCCACCCCCTGTGTACCGCCAACCAATGCCGGGAGCACTCACAATCTTCAGCTAGACATTATGGACGACATAGCGGATATTAAAATGAGAAAGGTAAAATGGCCAGGGTGCCCCGCGAGGCGGAAAGTATCAGGAGGGTCCCAATCCCACGGGAAACGGTGCGCCCTCGGCTGCAAGCGGAGCACGTCCGGATGCGCAGGAAACGAGTCTCTAGGTTTCTACGTTTGTCGATTAAGGTGAAGTGAGAAACGTCGAGGAACTTGATCAATATAGATAAAGAAGATTTTTCTAAATGCCTACGTTGCCGACGTCCGTTTTTATATTGACAGCTATATCGAATTATATTGGGTGTTGTACCAAATGGCGTACTCCACCTGTCGTTTTCCTACAATAATTATAAAGAAATCAAAGTAAAACTGCAGAAATCCTCTATATTCGTGCTTTCTGGGGCCCTAATTGACTGCAGAGGGACCCCCTGCGCCATCTGTGAGTTCCAGGTCAATTAAATTTTCACTCCGAGACCTCGTATTCCCATCGTTTTAGCAAAGAAGCGCATACAACACTTTTTTTGCCTTTATCCCGTTCAAATGCGAGTTCATTGATTACCAGAGTGTTCTAAATTGTCGTAAAATTGTTCTGACCCTTTCAACTCTCATATCAGAGCCTTGAATAATTGTATATTGAAAAGAAATATGAGAGCTCGACGCCATTTTGTTTCTAGTCTGAGCTGAGTTAAAAAATTTTTTACAAAAATACAAATTTTGAATGTGTCAGGATAATTCTTAGATGATCAGGAATGACGTGTCAAAGTTTCGAACAGTTTGGTCTAATATCCTTAAAAAAAAGTGTTGTATTCGAATCTACTGATTTGAAGGGTGTTTCACTTCATCTTAAGCCCCATTGAAACACACGCAGAACCGAATCCTCCCGGCTGGCTTGCTCTTCGAGGCGGTAGAGTTTCACAGGGTCGGCCGATCCGTCCTAAAGAGCGATGTTTTCAATATCGCTGATATTAAAATCGATAAATTTATGCAGGCAGAGCCAGAGCAGGAACGTGGAGGAACAAGTGGTTAAAAATAACGCGACAAATCAATAGTTCTCTAAAAATAACGGGAGCCACGTAGATTCGAGCCTGTCGGCTCACCTGAGACACCTACGAGTACACACCTTTTCGAGTACGCTTTGTTCCTGCTTTTATGCCCAGCCAGAAGTGGGATGGATCGGTACTCCCTTCTGCCGATTCCTGACGACTTAATAAGAGATATCGTCATCCTTTGGACGGAATGGTTTAAATGCTCCATTTTTTAAAATTAAAATAATTTACCCTTCCGTCAGGTGCGCATGAAGATGTGGAAGACCCCATCGCACGAGCGGGTCTGCGAGGTGCAACCCCTGGAGGGTAATTCCGGAGCCCAGAGATACACCCAGTACCAACATCGTAGGTTTTCGGATTTCGCTTTGACGTCGACCCCGTTGCCGCCTACCGCAATGCGAAGACGAGCCTCCGAGATGCCTGCGAAGCCTCCCAGCATCCCTCGACCTACGACCTCTCAGACCGCAGGCATCGTCTGCTCGAACACCGACCTGATCTCCATCCTGAGCTCGCTGGCCTCTTCGGCGACGGAGATCAACAGGTGCGTCCCATCGACCGAGACCTTTCCGAATAGGCTACAGTCGGTTCTTACAAGGAAGGTACCTGAGGTGTCCCCCTCCGATTTTCTTCATTTTTAAATATGTTATAGAGGACTAAAATCTAAGTGACTCGTGTTTTTTTTTTTTATCAGTGGATAAACACCTTTAGGGAGTAAAATCAGGCTTCAAAGTTGGCCGTGCAAGGGGGTGAGTTGGCTGTTTCATATAGAAGCACTCGACTTATTTTGCATGAAATAACCGTCAAAATGTAGGGAATGAAGAATTATGAAGCATGCATTTGGAATTCTTCGAAAAAATTCATTTTTAAGGGGTGAGCCACCCCTTTGAATACTTCTTTTACCCCTTACGCAAGCAGTAATTATTCTATCCAAATGAGACTTTTTTTGTACTGTTCTGGTTTATAAATTAACCATGTTTCATTTGGATAGAGCCATTACTGCTCGCGTAAGGGGTAAACGAAGTATTCAAAGGGGTGGCTCACCCCTTAAAAATGAAATTTTTCGAAAAATTCCAAATGCATGTTTCATAATTCTTCATTCCCTACATTTTGACGGTTGTTTCATGAAAATCGTTCTATATGAAACAGCCAACTCACCCCCTTGCACGGCCAACCTTGAAGCCTGATTTCACCCCCTAAAAGTGTTTATCCACCGATAAAAAAAAAACACGGGTCCCTTATACTTTAGTCCTCTATAACATATTTAAAAATGAACAAAATCGGAGGGGGACACCTCAGGTACCTTCCTTGTTAGATATCTAGACGTCCAGACATAACGCGATGACGTGGGCTCCACAGATGCGGAGAGGAGGCGCCCTCGAAGGAGCAGCTGAAGTCGGGATCCGTGAAGTCGCTGGAGCAGCGACGAAATCGACTGAAGAGCTTCCGATCGAACAGCTTCGACGTGTCCATTTTGCACGGGACCGAAGCCGACCAGCAAGCCGGAAGCAGCTCCAAGCCCACGCCCTCGAATTGGTTCATAAAGCGCCACCAGCCTATGGCCAAGAAGCAGAGGAGCGAAGACGTCGCCCCGGCCTCGCTCTCCTTCAAGGACGAGAAGTCCAAGATGACGGTCGAGGCCAAGACCTCGCCGACCAAGGACTGTGCTCGTCAAAAGGTGGTCTGGGATGACACCAGTGGGACCAAGGTCGACGCACAGGTCATTGGCAGCGTCATCGAGGGGTTCCTCACCTCGCAGAGAGGAGCCGAAGTCGACAATGGAGCTGGTACCTCTTCGGGCAAGCCAGGGTCAGCTGGTCCCAAGCCGAGGTCCAGTCCCAGCAAGGTCGCCAGTTGGTTCTCCGGAGGCAACAAGGAGGAAGAGCAGACCGAGTCCTGCGACACCTCGTCCCTCTGCTCCTCCCTGAAGGACCTCTTCGTCAAATAAGCTGGTCGCCTCGAAAAGCAAGCGTTAGGATGTCCCGAAGAGTCCCGTAGGATGCAACGTTGCGCATATCTTGGGAGACCAGGAATATGTCCCTTAAAAACCCTCAGTATATATACTTACAAATATGTGTATGTATATTTTCAGCTCTCGTACACAGTCCGGGGAGAAAGACGAGCTGCGCGTTATGTCGGAACTCATTGGCAGGTTCCTTTGACTTGTTTCTATGACCAGGTATTCTCAACGGGGTGTCTTGCGGGATAAAGTATATTAAATATAATAATACTCGTGGAGGATTCTAAGTGGGCAAAAGTCGCGTGGGATGATGAGCGCGGATACGATAACGCCTTTGCAGGTCAAAGGTGGCTTTTATCGACGACGACTGTATATTAATATAAATTAAGTTACATATAATTATATACACGACTGTATAGATGTTATGATTCGCTCCTTAGCGAGGAGGTAGTCCGGTGTAACCTGCGTACACCGATAATTTTACATAAAGCTGAACGTGTAAGGAAAGGGATATATATATATATCGGTGTCACGTCATTATGTGAACCTCGCGATATTCGTTACATAGCGGAGCCCCCGGATCGCTTCATTATCATTGCGCCTTTGATTGCGCGTTACGTTACGGTCATGTTTCCATGCAGAGCATTATTTAACATTATGTATATATTACCTAAATGCAACGTTTCATGTGTCGACATCATGTTCGCCGATATTTGACATGTACTCGTTAACCCTTTGCGGTTCGATTTAACGTAAATTGCCAATGCTGTTCTCGTATCGGACGAAACTGCACCTGATGGGACGTACCCTGTAACCCCGATCGAATCGCAAAGGGCTAAATACGTATTTAATGGGATTTAAGAGATAAGAAATTATGTTACCCAAATATTGCATACAAATATGTAAGTACAAACCCATCTACGCGGTGTTTCTTGGACTCGGACATCGGTCCTGCTGGCAAACCTTACAACAATCTCTTTAATTACCCTGAAAGGATATGTTATTAAGCCCTCGATTTAACGAAAGACTTTCCTCACTTTTACAGGACAGTACTCGAAGAGGGATCCTTGGATTCATTTTCAACTAGCCTTAAAAAGGTTTCATTTCTAAACCCCTGATTTCGCCAACCGTTCACGCGTCGCCTTCTAACTTGCAAGGGAAAACGGGAAGACTCATTAGAAAGAGAAAAGTGAAGCGACAATCTTTTAGAACCTGACAGTAGTACATGCAAGAAATACCTAGAAGACCAAAGTCTGCATCGTAACTTCCCGAAAGTCTTGCCGGTAAGGGGTACCGTTTAGCCTCGTAGGACGAAAATAAGGACCACGTTGTGAATACATTATTACTAAATTGTCAAAATATGGGGACGAGGTGTAAACATTTCGTCTTTCTCGAAAAAGCAAAAAAACGCTCGACGTCGCGAAGGGGAGCGATGTATTTAGCTCTGTCATAAAACTTCAATCCTGACTGTCAGATGTAGCCTTAAAGAGAGAGGGAAGAGGTATGATTCGTATGCCTTATATACAGGAAACCGTGGACTCGCTCTATCTACAGGAATTAAAGCTAATTTTTCACTGACTCCCGGAAGTGCTGGTTTGCAATTCTTTAACTCGGAACAAGTGAATAATGCCCAGAAGAGTTTGGCCAATCCGAGGAACTATAAATTATCGACCAATTATCCGCCGTAACCAGGAGACGGGGAACACGTTGATCGCTTCGTAACTATATTTAACAATGGGTGCATTCAGAGGAGACAACTGTTGAGTGATCGGTTGGCGCTCATCTGCTGAATGGGTACGTTTACTCAACATGTTTACTGATCAGACCATTCTGATCGCCATTTTTGCACCCTTTGGGTGCATTCAGAGGGAAAAGCGGTTACCGATGAGTTGGTAACATGTTGGGATTTTCTGCTAAAGCGGCAATCAGAATGGTCTGATCAGTAAACATGTTGAGTAAACGTACCCATTCAGCAGATGAGCGCTAACCGATCCCTCAACAGTTGTCTCCTCTGAATGCACCCATTGATAAACGTTCCGTTGCGTCAGCCAGATTTCCCAAGAAAAAAATTCATATTGAATTTCGTGAAATTAACGTTCGCGATTTGTTTCCTGATTTCTGTTTGCCGAAGAAAGTAATCCAATTGAATTCATTAGAATCTCCTCGCCGGGTATAATTTTATGGGGATTATATTTCCAACGAAACCGCCTAATTTTCTAAGGATCGTGTCCTCCAACAATTTCGATATGTCAGTGATCGATTTAATTTATGAAATGTAGGTAAAGTCAGTTCACCGCAAGAGAAGCGTGATACACGATCTTTGGATCGTAAGAGAATGTAAATAGATTTGACACTGTATGTTCTTTGAATGTCCCTTGCACATACGTCATTGCATTAGGATTACCATAATTGCGTACAAGTGTATGTGTGTCAGTAATCGCGAGGAGAAGGTCGTGTGTCCATGCAGTTTAACGAGTTCCAACAATAGTGCGGATTGACGGGCATTCTCTCCCTGCGCTCTTAAATAAATTAAATAATCGCCGATTAGAATTAAATATGAAACGCAATCAGGCCGCGCGGCCGTAATCACGGTCGAAGTAAATTGGCTGTCTTCGATTAAGGAAGGTCTCGATAAAGCATTGGACGCACTTCCGCGGACTCTTTTTGAGCCTGTATGTCACAACTTTTTAATTCTAACAATTCGGTGTGCAGCTAAGCTAATATACCCCTGTATTACCTCGTGAAGAAATCGTATTGATATCTGAAAGCAATATACGTTTAAAAAGAAATCTATATTACATCATATTTCTCACACGTCGGCAAAAGATCTCGTTCAGTCGTAACTCTGGCCAAAAAAAAAAAGATTTCTAATTTAACTGGTTAGATTCCACGTTTTAGTTGCAAATGCTTTTAGTCTACTGAACGTTATTTGTTTTTTTAGAGACATGGGATTATTTTTCTTCCGATACAATCCCTCCCGTAGAATGGTGAAAATTAGATTGTACACATTTCAGATAATAGAGGATAATAGAACGATTAATTCTTTAAACGAAACAAATCTTACGACAAAAGATTATCTAGTATTTTTTGCAATACGTATCCTTTATCGTAAAAAGGGTTTACGCTGTTTTGAAATTATTTTTCATCTTATACTTAATGATAATTTACTGCTGAAGGCAGATACGAAGTTTGTACGTTCTCTTAATCAACAGTTCGGGAGATACTAGGTGCGATGCACTTGTCGAATTGCGAGATTTAAATGTACATTCCAAAATATAATTAGTAATTCGAATGTGTGTAAAAAGAAATAAGGGACAGGTTCACCAAACTGTTGTACTACATTACCGCTATGACACAATCGGTCTATTTATAACACAGGAGCATCATTGTTTAAATGTAAAGAAGAACTATCGATATTGTACCATACACAATGTGATCCTACATGAGAGAATTACCAATGTTATTTCAAATAAATCTTGAATGTTGAAAATACGTTTCAACTTCTACTGAAACCAAAAGTTATCACCTTTCAGATAATGATAATGCTGATTTCTCTCAGAAGACAATTTTATTTCACAGGAATTGTAACTAACCAGGTTACAATTATACTTTTCGGTTTTGAAACTACACATAAACCAAATGAGTTAATACACCCATCTAAGATAGTTCAAAGTCGATCGATCCATAGATCTACGAAGGATACAGTATGAGCATCTACCGTGAAAGCCACCAATGACATTTTACTCACTAATAATGTACAATTATAGGTCCTTCAGCTCGGAAGTAGATAAACGATTTAAAAAATATATGACAGTGAAGATTGTTCAAACCGCAAACTTGTGGCTGAATAACTGACTTCACGATTACAATGGGAATTGCGCTGCATTAATTTAGCATATTTCAATTCACCACTACACTTTGCACGATATGATAGAAGAAAATCAATGGTTCAAGACTTGACACTCTGTTGGAATCTTTTGGTGAAATTACTTGATCACCAAGAACGCCCAGAAATGGAACAGCAGTGCATCTACCATACAGTCAGTACATTAGATAAAATTAATGGCAGAAAGAGACAATGATTAATTAAGGAGTGATCATGGATAAATTCAGTCGATCTATGTTTCTCCACAATCTGCTATCATAATCTTCTTGGAAGTCTTGCCGCTCTGTGAGCCCATTGTTTCAATCTGTGAAAAGGAAATGAACTTAGCTCTCCTGTAAACTTTTACAACTAACAAACAATAATTTTCAGAAATTAGGCCATTCACCTTTCTAACGATATCCATTCCTTCGACTACTTTGCCGAAGACGACATGTTTTTCATCTAGCCACCTAGTTTTGGCAGTAGTGATGAAAAACTGACTGCCATTCGTATTAGGTCCACAATTAGCCATTGATAAAATACCAGGCTCTGTGTGCTTCAAACTGAAGTTTTCGTCTTTAAATTGGAGTCCATAGATGGATTTACCCCCTGTACCATTGTGCTTCGTGAAGTCTCCACCTTGGCACATGAAATTCGGTATCACCCGATGAAAACCAGACCCTTTGTAGCCGAAGCCTCTTTCGCCAGTGCACAAAGCCCGAAAGTTCTCCGCAGTTAATGGAACGACATCGCTCCTCAACTGCAAAATAGGAATACCAAATTATGAAATACTCGAACTTCATTGAGATATACCAAGATAAAGAATACCTCTCATCCAAGAATGAAATAAGTACAGCTATTGGTACGATTGTGGATCATAGAGCAGCATTTATCTCGATCAAAAGAGGGACAACTTTACGCAACGTTTCAATTACTTAATGGACCAACTTAGACTAGTCGTCATTTTACTGCAAATTTGTTGGTCGATCACCAGTGACCTCGATCTCAGATTTATGACAAACGTGCAGTTAGTTACATCCTTGAAAATCCACATAATTACTACAAACGTCTACTCGCACTTGAAAAAAATTGAATGACTCATGCTCCAATAGCCACGATCATCATGCATACTTGCGAAACACTATCCAACAACCTGACAGCAACACATAGAGCATTGTTAGCTCGATCTATGCACGTGATGGCAACCTGTGTAAAGTATCAACGTATAACTTAATAATGCCTACTTTCGTCCTGTATAAACTGCGGCTCGTGTTCCTACTATTCTTGATAAGAACATTAATCGACCCATCAGGAATTATCACAAAAAAAGAACATTTCTAGGAAAAAAAAATTGGATCAAAATGTCTTTAACCACATGCACGACTGCGCAAGTGGACCATTGCTGTTTATCTTCCCAAAACCACGAGATTGGAACGTCGCCATAAAAATAACGGGTTACCTCCATAACGATGCGACCCAGCGGCTTGTTGTCCGCAGTCATGTCGAAGAAAACTCGTGGCAAGCCCATCTTCTCGGCGACCGCGGCAAACTCACGTGCAAGCGCTGCTAGTGACGGTCCGCACCGCCGGGAGGTGGATCTCAAATGGCTTAAATGACTGAAGGTCGAATCAATTGACAGCTGCCGGATAGCAGCTAACGCCATATTCGGCGGCCGCTCAGAGGCAAATACTCAAAGAGCTCTAAACAGCTAACCGAAATATGCTGGTTGATACCTTAAATTCAACACGTGCTTCTTTCGATGATCCTGGAACTTTCGTAGGGATAATTACGTAACGGAGAGCACATGACGATCCGCGTCTTTTCATTCGAATACTTGGCATCAGCGTATAGTATCTGTCTTTACCGACGTCAGCCAATCAGGAAAGGGGATTATACAGGAAGTAACGACGTGCGAGAATTCCTGAACTGTGATTGGACAGCGACTCTAGGAATCAATGTATGTACGCCATTGGTTACGTGAAATCGAGATAGTGAGCTAATGAGAAGAACGAAGAGGGGAGCAGAGAGTAATCAGAGATGAGTTGGGAGATTGCTCACGGGCAGGGTCGCGCGATCGCACCGTGCGCTGCCCTCTGATTTCGTACGTTAG